TAAATGAATGTTTTTGAGGGAAAACAATCTACAATTGGCTTTATGGTAGGGTTCCACTGCCATTCGTATATCCCATTCTATCAGAGGATATACTTTGTCCCCCTGTCTGATGGTTAGGTTAATTGTAACACTTTCTTAAAACATATATCCTATATACGGTTTATACTCCTGTTATGATATCCCTGCTTATAAATCCTATCCTATGCATGGTATATCCGAAAAACATCCTAACTGAATTGTATCCCTATCATATCCCTGTCATATCACGTCATCAACAAGGCTCAACTGGTCCCTAACGACAAACCGTCTTCGCCTTCTCCTTGGTACAGCGAACGATAAAACGAGTGACCACGGCAAAGCCTTTCCTCAGCGCCAGGGGAAAGCACGATGCTGAAATTCAGGGATCAAAATTCTTCGGTTACTGGAGGGTTACGAATAGTTACGACTCAAACAAAATGGGAAAATCAGAGTTGAAATTGGAGGGTCAATACATGTTTATCCTCAAAATATATCAAAATATGACCCTTGAATTGATTTCAGTGGGTTTGAGGCCTTAAGGCCGGGGTGAATGTTGACTCCTGAAGCCGTCCCCACCAAATCTGCCCGCATTCAACTCCACAAGCTTGATAGCATTGTGTCAAATGAATCGTCATCCAGAAAACTTCTCAATGGGAGTCCAGGCTATGTAAATACCCATATGCTCCATGTATGGTATATTTATACCTACAAAACTGGGTGATTTTGGACAAGGGCAAATGTTGGTAAATATTCCAGCACCATGGAGCATTTGGGCTAAGTAAAGTTCTCCAGCTTTCCTGTGTCGACAACCCTGTCTCGACCACTGCCATCGACCTTATAGCGTCCATATAAGTCCAACTTCGATATAGTCACCTAGTAAACACCTATAAATTTGACATGGAACCCATTTCTGGTGTGTTATATTCAATCTTAATATTATGGTAAAGGTAAACACTACTAGATGTTAATGTTAGATGAGTTTAGTACGAACTGGTGAAGATTCATTTGCTAAGCAAGTGCAAAATATTCACTCACTACTGGCATGAGTAAAATAATCTATATGGTATCTGGTTCTATTGTTCAAGCTTTATGTGACATTTTGGGGTTGTATTTTGGTAGCGATGGCAAATCACCATTTTTGACTTCGGCAAATCATCATGAAACATTTCTCACCACAGCATAGGCCATGGCTTCCACTTCGCCTAGGACCCTAGGACCAGCTGGTGATTGCTATACGGGTTTGTCTGAAAATGTCGTGTACCCCATTTTCCCAATGGTTTTGCTGATCATTATCCCGTTTTTAAATGGCTATTTCATTGGGAAGATTAACTCAACATTTTCAGAGAAATCCAAATAGTTATAAGTAAATAGTTCATGGATCATCCATAGTTACATAGTTTAATAGCTGCTTATAGTAACTATAGTTTTCTAAGCCATCTGCGACCAGCGGGAAGCCAAGGGTCATGTGGTCAATGGACTCGACTAGGCACATCGCTGGGAGAAGGAACAGGATCACCTTCCCCACATCCTCCAAGCCCTGCAGTGCTGCAGTGCTCTTTTGCGGAGCCAACGACAACAACGACAGTAACAGTAACAGTGATGCTATATAATGCTATTTAACAATGATGATGATGACGATGATGATGATGATGATGATGATGCTGATGCTGATGATGATGATGATGCTGATGATGATGATGACGATGATGATGATGATGACGATGATGATGATGATGAGGATGATGATGATGATGATGATGATTATGAGGATGATGATGATGATGATGAGGAGGATGATGATGATGATGATGATGATGATGATTTCATAACAATATATAACAAACAGAAACCACAAAATGATCCAACTGAAGTTAGGAGGATGAGAAGTTCTATGCCGAAAGCGAATCGGTGTAGTGGTAGAAATTGATGGTGGATATAATTCATATCTGTATGATTGGTGGATATTTGGTGAGAAAAACCATGTTTTCTGGTTAATATTTGGTGAGAAAAACAATGTTTTCTGGTTAAGATTTGTCCAAAAAACATCCATCTACTGACTTCGCCCCGCATCTTTTTCACCATGCAGCGCCATGCTATGTCACTGTAGCGCCTCTTGTGAACGCCGGACCAGAAAGATGTCTTGCCTAGATCAGCCCAGTCAACCGTAGATGGCCGGTGCCCCACATCTGGCCCATTTGATTCCATGATTTACCTATGAAAGATGAAGATTTTGATGATGTGTCCTATAGCTATGTGTCGAATTACCAGATGGTATATCATTTTCCAGGCTGTTGGTTGCTAAATATCTGTCAGTCGCATGACAATTTCATGTTTCAAACATATCTGGCTTTGCCAACTGGCTGAGTGGGCCACAGGCACTGCACACTCCAACCCCGCAGGAGTCGTGATGTTTACAGGGGCCAAATTGCGACATTTGCCGGGACTTGCAAAGCTTTTCCTCTCGAAAGCACAAGTCGACCCTAAAAAGTTGTGCTGTAATTAATGTGGGAAAAACAATAATAAACCACCCATTTGGGAATGGTTTATACTATATACCACCTATTTATGGTGAAATTGGGGATGTTTTATGATTGTTTTACCACCATTAGTTGCTTTCTGAGGGGATCATACAGTTCTTTGGCCAAAAGTGCCACATGACAATTGGAGAGTTTTTATCGAATTTTAGAAGGAAAAAGTAAACGGAAACATGAACACTTGCAGGTCAAGAAGTGTTCAATATGGTGTGGCCAATGCAGAATTAGTGTCTCGAAACTGTGCGAAAAAGCAGAACAGTGCGAAAAACTGATCATTCACAGTCGGTTCAATTTCACAGTGTCAAATCCCAACCAATACCCTCTGGTAATTTAACATAGCTATTGAAATTGAAAATGAACATTTCTAGTGGATTTTCCCATTAAACATGGTGATTTTCCATAGTTATGTAAACGTTTTACCAGAGGGTACCATCAGAAAAACTTCGAAGTCAGCCAGCAATTGCCCAGCGCAGCACACAAGGTGATTCCACTGCACTTGTAGTTCCTGATGTAAGTTACGTCGTCAGTTCCCGATGTAAAAATTCAACCAGCCCAACCAGCCAACTGCGCAATGATGGGAACAAGGCTTGTTATATCCATCAAAATATCCATCAAAATACAGCAAGGACTCCAGCACCAAAAGAATCGCCAGAAAACTTGGAGTAAATAAGTCTAAGTACATCATTGGAAGTGCAAGTTTGATCAACCCTCCAGAAATAGAATGCTGTACCATGATGTACCACAGCGGACCAAGTTTGTTCTTCGTATTTTCCAGTACCTCAATTTCGACCCATCCGATGTTCACACTGAGTGGGATGCCACTGCCATTCATGCTGCGCTGTCATCTGCCACACTGCCTTTCCTTCACCAAAGAGAAGGGATTTACTGTCGGACAAGCCGCATCTGCCATTGTGAAAAAATGTGAAAAGTACAATGAGCCAAAAGAGATCTATTTTAATTTGGTGTTTGAAATAGTTTGAAATAAACCCATCCCTGCAGTTCAGTCATTAACCTTTAAAATCCAATCAAACGTATCTGACACTGCAGTGATGACTTCCTCTTGAATGTTATGAACCCATGAAAATCGTTCATGGCAGATGCCAGTCATCCAAACTCCATTCCTTGCAAAGGCATGTTCGCTTTGAAGGTCTCACCACAACAGCCGTTCCCATTTTTTTCACTTTGAATCAACAACTCAAAGCAGCCAACCTTGAACACATCTTCAATTTCTTTTTGCCGCTTTGGATCATCACGGACTCAGATGTGAAAAATCATCCTGGAGTCGAGAACGACTCCACTAGTGTCACTAGTGACACCACTACCATCGCCCAACCCCAACCGTTGCATCGCATCAATCGCGGAGTGTGCGCGTCCGGCGCTTCTGAGTTGTTGGGAGAGCCTTTGGTGCCTGGCGAACGATGCCGCGGGAACTCTGTCGATGTCAACCAATGCCTCTTGGCTAATCGGTTTCGACCAATAACCATTAAAATGACCTGATATCCCTTGTTGGGAAGCCGATTCCTGTCATGAAACAATTGGGGTATAATTAACGGTATTCCCAAAAAAATGATCAATGGCGAACGAGGTAGAGCTATTATGGCAACCATTTTTAGGGTTTGTTCAGTAGATAAGCCAATGCCAGTCCGAGAGATCTCCATTATATCATATTGCATCCTCATTCTTCCCAATCCACTAAATGTCTATACCACCACAGAAAGGGAACCCCCTAAACAGGTTTCTGTGGATGTATGACTTCTATCCAACTGGGATTAGATTTGTAGCTTTGTAGTTGGATGGGGTAACATAAACAACCAGTTTATATTCGATACCCTCCAGCAATCAAACATGGCAATGAAAAGTCCGCCATTCACTTCGGCGATTTCCCAGCCATGTTCGGGGTAGAAAATTGCGGTTGAGGGGGGTCCTTCCTGCTGTGGGACTTCCCAACTATAAATAAATCCATTGAAGTATTCCCATGATATTCCCATCTGGTTGGTGGTTTGAACCCCTCTGAAAAATATGAGTTCGTCAGTTGGGATGATGAAATTCCCAACTGAATGGAAAAAATAAAATTCATGTTCCAAACCACCAACCAGTACAATATGCATTATAATAGTGCCAATATAATAACATTGTATAAATACCAAGTAGCTGAGACCATTAAAGTATTCCCATGATATCCTATTATATAGAATATTCCATATAGATCCCCAACTGGAGACTTCCCAAACTTCCATCGCCTCGTTGACCTTCGCATTCCTTCGGCCCTTCGCCTTCGCCTTCGCTGCCGGTGCAGCAGGCGCCGAAGCCGCGGAAGGCGCGGTGGAAAGCGCAGAGAGCGTCAGCTGGCGACGGAGGTCGGCAGCGAGGCTCTCCTTGGGATTGCAGCGACTTGACCAACGCAGATTGAAGCAACGAAAAGAGGGATTTGGCCACAAGAAAATTGGGATTTTTATGGATTTTTTAAGACTGGGATGTATGGTTCGATGGGTTAAACTTTTACCAATCTGTCGCCGGATGAATTTTTCTGTACTCGGATCATCTTGGGTCAATATGTGCCCAAAATGTCACCGTTTCCAAGAAGAAGACAGTATGTTTGGCATGTGCATTTAACGAGTTGATGTACATTGATGTACAGGTTCATGTGTCATTGTTTTAATTCTTTTGGGCCATTGTGGATAGTTTAACCACTTGAAATCTATAGCCACATCAAACATAGTGTCATTCTAAAATTTCTACATCGCAACATAGTTTCTGGATGATATCCCAATATTGCCATGGTCAAAAACTGGTATATGTGGTCTGGTCATCAGTCCCATAATAAGAATCCTTAAATGTATATGTGTGTTGTTTTGTTGTTGTTGTTGTTGTTGCTGTTGCTGTTGCTGTTGCTGTTGTTGTTGTTGTTGTTGTTGTTGTTGTTGTTGTTGTTGTTTGTTCGAAAGTGTATTGATGACCATCCATCAATTAAATCCAGTTAATGCCTTAATCTAATTTACTCCAACTTATGACCATGGCACTCTGTTTGATTGTTAAAACCCCCATGAAATAGCTCGCTTGTTATAACATGGTTTGCTGGGAAATCGCCCATTTAGTAGGGAAATTCCACATAGTTGGGACCATGTATGGGGTGCTTAATATTAGGGTGATGGGATTATATATATATATATGTATGTATGTATATATATATATATATATGCATATATATGCTATAGAAATCTATAGAATGCTATCGATATGGATGCCCGTTAGTTCGGGGATTTCCCTGTAGCCTGCCATTGCTTGATGACACCTGAGGCGTGAGATTTTCTCCCAATAATGGTTGTAACTCGGCGGTTGATGAACATTTAAACCCAAAGTATCCCCATACTTTAGGTAAATGCTCATACCCTCTGGTAATTTGACATAGCTATTGAAAATGACCATAGAAATAATGGATTTACCCATTGAAAATGGTGGATCTTTCCGTAGTTGTTTGTATGTTTACCAGAGGGTAAAGATTCATATATCATCTATAAAGGCGTCCATAGCTATGTTAAATTGCCAAAGGGTAGATCTGTGGTGATCAAACTTTAGTAATGTGGTGTTTACCATGGTAAACCCATGTAAACACAATGCAATAAACCTTGCATGACTGAGAATGGTTGAAAATGATGATTTTGGGAGAATCCCAAAAATCAAAACCCAAGAATCTCTCAAAATCCAAAAGATGTTGATGATTTACAACCCATTTTTTCTGAATCATTGAACCCTATCCCAAAAAAAACTTGGGAATCTCCAACTTCTGTCAGGTCTCTAGGTCCAACCGCAGCTGTCGCAAGAGCTTGCCACGATGCAGCTCTGCGTCCTCACGAAGTCGGCCGGTCGCTCTTCGGGGGTCGTCATTAGAAACCCCACAGAAGTGCCTTGGTCAAGTTAGATGGATTGTATGTATGTAATTGTATATATATATATATGTGTGTGTCAATGGATTGGTTTAAGGGAAAATTGGAAAAACACCATGGGTTAAGATTTTCCAACCAATCCATTGTATATATATATCCATGATAGGGAATAGTCATCAATCCAGTTTCATGGGGATTTAGATTTGAATATGTATACCCTCCGGTAATTTGACGCAGCCATTCAACATGGCCCATTTAGGTCGTTGATTTTCCGAACTCAAACATGGTGATTACCCTCTGGTAAACTAACAGCTTGCTAGTGAAAATTGCCATTTATCGTTGTTTTACCTATTAAAGACTTAAAGATGGTGAATTTCCATAGCTATGTAAACGTTTACCATGAGGCTATCCATTTTGGGTAATGGTCATCAATCCATTTGTAGAGATTTGGACAACCGATGGATGTTGGGATTCCCATGGCCAGGGATGGATGACTATTCCCTATACCCGGCCTGGTAAACGTTTACAAAAAACCATGGAAGGATCAAGGATCCACCAGCTATTTCATGGGAAAACTCACTATTTCGACTGGGCCATGTTCAATAGCTATGTAACAGTCATTACCAGAGGGTACCATGTTTTGACCATGGCACAACTGGCTGCACTGACCATTAACAGTTCGGCGATTTCGCAGCCAGCTACGCCTGACTCCCGGAGGCTACTATCCCTATTTTGGATGCCATCCAATCCCCATGTAGAGTCTAGAGGTTTCCTAAAATAGGGGTACCCCCAGTTCTCATCCATTTTAGATTGGGATTTTCCATTGCCATCCAGCTATTGGGGTACCCCCATTTAAGGAAACTTCCACTGCTATGGGAAGTCAGCGCTATCAAGACCGACCTTCAACTGCTTCAACGCTGTGGAGATCTTCGTGATCTCGTCGTAGACCTTTTCGTTCACATCCGGCTGCGCGATGTCCTTGTAATGCCTCGAACGGGGCATTGCAAGGGCCCCAGGGCCCCAACAAATGGCAGGTTTCTCCAGCACAAATGGAACGCAAGGACTTCGGAAACTTCGGAAATGTGGACTTAAAACATGATTGAACCAGCCAAAAATGGCAAATGCAAGTGTGGGATGATGCCTCAACATGGCAACTTCTAGGGGAAAATGATGAATAACTGGAATAACCATCAAAGTTTGGGTCACTCTAGGTTCAACAAGCTCATCTGTGGCCGAAATATCTGATGTCAATGTGCAAAGAACAGTTGAAACCATGACATATATCTGGGTAAATTATAATATTTCACTAACCTGAAATAAGGCTATGTTGTTGGGGATGATTTCCCTTACTAACCATTATTCCCAGTGAGGTCGCAGTGAGGTCGTGATGAAATTTACCCAGATAAATCATCATAAATTATACATTATCATGGATAGGTTATCAATGATTATCATCAAAGGAAGTTTAGGGGGAGAAACTTCCGTGTTACGGACTTTTAGAATGTCAGGGAAAGAGTTAGTCAAAGAAAGAGTTAGTCAAAGAAACAGTTAGCAAAGAAAGAGTTCGTCAGGGAAAGAGTTAGTCAAAGAAAGAGTTAGTCAAAGAAACAGTTAGTCAGGGAAAGAGTTAGTCAAAGAAAGAGTTAGTGAGGGAAAGAGTTAGTCAAAGAAAGAGTTAGCAAAGAAAGAGTTAGTCAAAGAAAGAGCAAAGAAAGAGTTAGCAAAGAAAGAGTTCGTTAGGGAACGAGTTAGTCAAAGAAAGAGTTAGTGAGGGAAAGAGTTAGTCACAGAAAGAGTTAGCAAAGAAAGAGTTCGTCAGGGAAAGAGTTAGTCAAAGAAAGAGTTAGTCAAAGAAACAGTTAGTCAGGGACAGAGTTAGTCAAAGAAAGAGTTAGTGAGGGAAAGAGTTAGTCAAAGAAAGAGTTAGTCAAAGAAACAGTTAGTCAGGGAAAGAGTTAGTCAAAGAAAGAGTTAGTCAGGGAAAGAGTTAGTCAAAGAAAGAGATAGTGAGGGAAAGAGTTAGTCAAAGAAAGAGTTAGCAAAGAAAGAGTTCGTCAGGGAAAGAGTTAGTCAAAGAAACAGTTAGTGAGGGAAAGAGTCAGTCAAAGAAAGAGTTAGTGAGGGAAAGAGTTAGTCAAAGAAAGAGTTAGTGAGGGAAAGAGTCAGTCAAAGAAAGAGTTAGTGAGGGAAAGAGTTAGTCAAAGAAAGAGTTAGTCAGGATATATGAGGTAGTCAAAGAAAGAGTTAGCAAAGAAACAAGTTAAAGAAAGAGTTAGTGAGGAAAAGAGTTAGTCACAGAAGAGTTAGCAAAGAAATTGTTCCCTCACTGTAAATGGGATTGCAAGTGGTGCTGGTGGAGGAGTTGCCGATGGAGTTTTGGAGGAAGTCTCACACGAAATGCGTTTTTGAGAGATAGCAGATGCACGAAACCCTATGTTTTTCCATACAAAGTCCGTCCCCGAACGTCGATGATCTACCTCTGCGGTGCGACGGGTGCGAGACGGTCTCGTGTGTGGTCGGATCATTCTCGGATATTCTCGGATCATGGTCGGATCGGTTCCGCATTGTAAATGGGGTTTCACCTGTGTTTCGTGCATGTGCGGTCGACAGAATTCCATTGTGATTTGTAACTGTAGGGTCGTTCCTGCAATGTAAATGGGATTGCAAGTGGTGCTGGTGGATGAGTTGCCGATGGAATTCCATTGTAATTTGCAACTATAGGATCGTTCCCTCACTGCAAACGGGATTGCAAGTGGTGCTGGTGGAGGAGTTGCCGATGGAGTTTTGAAGGAAGTCTCGCACGAAATGCGTTTTTGAGAGATAGCAGATGCACGAAACCCTATGTTTTTCCATACAAAGTCCGTCCCCGAACCTCGATGATCTACCTCTGTGGTGCGACGGGTGCGAGACGGTCTCGTGTGTGGTCGGATCATGGTCGGATATTCTCGGATCATGTTCGGATCGGTTCCGCATTGTAAATGGGGACCTGTGTTTCGTGCATGTGTGGTCGACAGAATTCCATTGTGATTTGCAACTGTAGGATCGTTCCCGCATTGTAAATGGGGTTTCACCTGTGTTTCGTGCATGTGTGGTCGACAGAATTCCATTGTGATTTGCAACTCTAGGATCGTTCCCGCAATGCAAATGGGATTGCAAGTGGTGCTGGTGGATGAGTTGCCGATGGAGTTTTGAAGGAAGTCTCGCACGAAATGCGTTTTTGAGAGATAGCAGATGCACGAAACCCTATGTTTTTCCATACAAAGTGCGTCCCCGAACCTCGATGATCTACCTCTGCGGTGCGACGGGTGCGAGACGGTCTCGTGTGTGGTCGGATCATGGTCGGATCATGAGCGGATCATGCTCGGATCGGTTCCGCATTGTAAATGGGGTTTCAACTGTTTTTCGTGCATGTGTGGTCGACAGAATTCCATTGTGATTTGCAACTGTAGGATCGTTCCCGCAATGTAAATGGGATTGCAAGTGGTGCTGGTGGATGAGTTGCCGAGGGAATTCCATTGTGATTTGCAACTCTAGGATCGTTCCCTCACTGTAAATGGGATTGCAAGTGGTGCTGGTGGAGGAGTTGCCGATGGAGTTTTGGAGGAAGTCTCGCACGAAATGCGTTTTTGAGAGATAGCAGATGCACGAAACCTTATGTTTTTCCATACAAAGTCCGTCCCCGAACCTCGATGATCTACCTCTGCGGTGCGACGGGTGCGAGACGGTCTCGTGTGTGGCCGGATCATGCTCGGATGGTCTCGGATCGGTCTCGGATCGGTTCCGCATTGTAAATGGGGTTTCAACTGTTTTTCGTGCATGTGTGGTCGACAGAATTCCATTGTGATTTGCAACTGTAGGATCGTTCCCGCATTGTAAATGGGGTTGCAAGTGGTGCTGGTGGATGAGTTGCTGATGGAATTCCATTGTGATTTGCAACTCTAGGATCGTTCCCGCAATGTAAATGGGATTGCAAGTGTTGCTGGTGGATGAGTTGCCGATGGAATTCCATTGTGCTTTGCAACTGTAGGATCGTTCCCGCAATGTAAATGGCTGTGTCAAGGTTGCTTCGTGCTGTGGCTGCATTGGTAATACTATTATCCTTTGCAGCTGGATCTCGTAAATCGTACTGGAGTGGCTGCATGAAGGCTGCCACAGTGATTTGTTAGCAGATTTTCTCCATTTTGGCGCTAGTGATTTTCCTTCTAAAAATCCTTTTAAAAAGTGCTTCAAAATCGTCTTTTTTTCGCTCTGGCGTCGAGATCCCCGACGCCGTTGCGCGTAGTTCTATTGTGTTTTGGAACTCAATCTCTGCAGATCGCATTGTAATGGCTGTGTCAAGGTTGCTGCGTGCTGTGGCTCCATTCGTAATACTATTGTCTTTTGCAGCTGGACTTCGTAAATCGTATTGGAGTGGCTGCATGAAGGCGGCGACATGGATTTGTTAGCAGATTTTCTCCATTTTGGCGCTAGTGATTTTCCTTCTAAAAATCCTTTTAAAAAGTGCTTCAAAATCCTCTTTTTTTCGCTCTGGCGTCGAGATCCGGTTTTGGAGCTACAATTTCCGACGCCGTTGCGCGTAGTTCTATTGTGTTTTGCAACTCAGTCTCCGCAGATCGCATTGTAATGGCTGCGTCAAGGTTGCTTCGTGCTGTGGCTGCATTCGTAATACTATTGTTTTTTGCAGCTGGATCTCGGAAATCGTCTTGGAGTGGCTGCATGAAGGCTGCGAAATGGGTTTGTTAGCAGATTTCTCCATTTTGGCACTAGTGTTTTTTTGTTGGACGTACGTTTAGAGCAGTGTGAAGTGTGGGGCGTGAAGAGTGCAGTGTGAAGTGTGAAGTGTGAAGGAAGCAGTGGGAAGTGAGAAGTGTGGAGTGTGAAGTTTCAGTTTGGAGTGCGAAGAGCGCAGTGTGAAGTGTGAAGTGTGAGGTTTGGAGTGTGAAGGAAGCAGTGAGAAGTGTGAAGTGTGGACTGTGAAGTGTGAAGTGTGAAGTGTGGAGTGTGAAGTTTCAGTTTGGAGTGCGAAGAGCGCAGTGTGAAGTGTGAAGTGTGAAGTGTGAGGTTTGGAGTGTGAAGGAAGCAGTGAGAAGTGAAAAGTGTGAAGTGTGAAGTGTGAGTGAAGTGTGGAGTGTGAAGTGCGAAGTGAGAAGTGTGAAGTGTGAAGTTTGGAGTGTGAAGTTTGGAGTGGGAAGGAAGCAGTGAGAAGTGAGAAGTGTGAAATGTGGAGTGTGAAGTGTGAAGTGTGAAGTGCGAAGTGAGAAGTGTGAAGTTTGGAGTGTGAAGGAAGCAGTGAGAAGTGAGAAGTGTGAAGTGAGAAGTGGGAAGTGTGGACTGTGCAGTGTGGAGTGCGAAGAGCGCAGTGTGAAGTGTGAAGTGTGAAGTGTGAGGTTTGGAGTGCGAAGGAAGCAGTGAGAAGTGTGAAGTGTGGACTGTGAAGTGTGAAGTGTGAGTGAAGTGTGGAGTGTGAAGTGCGAAGTGAGAAGTGTGAAGTGTGAAGTTTGGAGTGTGAAGTTTGGAGTGGGAAGGAAGCAGTGAGAAGTCAGAAGTGTGAAGTGTGGACTGTGAAGTGTGGAGTGTGAAGTGCGAAGTGAGAAGTGTGAAGTTTGGAGTGTGAAGGAAGCAGTGAGAAGTGAGAAGTGTCAAGTGAGAAGTGTGAAGTGTGGACTGTGCAGTGTGGAGTGCGAAGAGCGCAGTGTGAAGTGTGAAGTGTGAAGTGTGAAGTGTGAGGTTTGGAGTGTGAAGGAAGCAGTGAGAAGTGTGAAGTGTGAAGTGTGGACTGTGAAGTGTGAAGTGTGAAGTGTGGAGTGTGAAGTTTCAGTTTGGAGTGCGAAGAGCGCAGTGTGAAGTGTGAAGTGTGAGGTTTGGAGTGTGAAGGAAGCAGTGAGAAGTGAGAAGTGTGAAGTGTTACAGTAAGTGTGGAGTGTGAGGTGTGGAGTGTGAAGTTTCAGTTTGGAGTGCGAAGAGCGCAGTGTGAAGTGTGAAGTGTGAAGTGTGGAGTGTGAAGTTTGAAGTTTGGAGTGCGAAGAGCGCAGTGTGCAGTGTGAGGTGTGGAGTGTCGAGGGAAGGACACGGTCGGGACAGGTTGTCTTTGAACTATAGGTCATTTATGTTTGGGAAACTTCCGCCGCCGGCTTGCCCGGGTCTATGTTATATTATTCCAGTTATCCCAACTGTCTTCCCTTATTAGGTCGTAAAAAAATAACGGTGATCGTCTTGTTGGGAAAACCCCTCAGAATGGCATCCCCAGGAAAGATCGTCCAATTCCACGTACAGAAACCCAAAAGCTACACTTATATACTGTATATGTGTATCTATATATATATATATGTATAATTATCGTTATTATTAGTATTATTATATGGTTGCCTCAAACCTATTAAAACCTATGGAGATATCCTGATAGGTGTTACTCCATCCCCATCTTAAAAGGAAGATGTGTCGCTCCCACCCGGCCCCCACCCGGCCCAGTTGCTGCACGATGGCCGTGCTCCGCGACTCCAAAGCATCTTGCAGCTGCTTACGCAGCTCGTTCAGCTCCTGCGGAAGCTGCGGGGATGAGGTGGCTGCCGTTTTTTTGGGGTGGTAACGGTGGTAACTGAAAGAAAACAGAAAGATATTTTTTGGGGAGTTGATTGATGTTGATTGTCTCTAACTTCAAATGGTTTTTTAGGGTGAAATTGTTGAAAGTGGTTCTTTTCTGGTGAAACCTCAGAATGGCTGAGCAAGACCATTTGGGGATATCCAATTTCTACCACAGCTTCGAGATCCCATAACCAACAAATGATAAAATTATACAAAACTCAGCCATTTTCTACTCATAAATGGGGATCAAATAAGCTTTTATCTACTCAGTAGACATAGTAAACCAACTGATTGTAACTGGGAGGCACATAACATCCCATTGGTGAATTCCAGAGTTTCACTGATCAAATCCCAGAGTTTCAGCTTAAATCCCCATTTTTCACAGCTGAAATCCCAATTTTTCACGGCTTAAAACCACCATGGAATTCCATGAAATCCCATGAAATCCCATGAAATCATCAATCAAATCCATTCAAACCTCCATGTGCTTTTCGGTAAATGTTCCCATGATTTTCCCCATGAAAACCTCATAAAACCTCCATTTTTTCGAGAATTTCCCAACCCAACAGGTCTCCACGTCTCCACGTCGCGTCCTCCTCGGCGTCCCCGGGGTCGAAGACCGCCGCCACGCTCCGCACCGCGCTGCGCACGGCGCTGCGCACAGAGCCCGTGGCCGCGCGGCGCTCCGGGCGCTGGGGGCTTCGGCGGCGGCCCATGGGCGAAACGACCACGGTTCGACGGCGCAACGGGGAGGTCTCTGGAGCTGGAAAAGTGGAGAAAATCATGGTAAACATATGGGAAAATCACCAGATGCCCTAACAAAAAATCCTGGGAAAATCACTTTAGATGCCCTAAAAATGCCCTAGATTTTGATGGATTTGAATGGGCAAATCATGGGAAAATCACCAGATGCCCTAAAATATACCCTAAAAATGTAGATTTTGATGGATTTGAATGGGCAATTTCTCCAAAGAATACGTATTGCGATTTGCTTCAAGAGCCCGAAAAAAAATGAAAACTTGTCCCACTAGCCCATAGTGAGACAGTTTCCACCCCCAAATGATGGAAGATTATCATGTTGATGGTTACATCATCCTACGAAAATTCCCTATGAAATATGCCGGCCTGTATCCCATCGACCATCTGTTAGACTGGCAATCACCCTCTGCTTTGTTGCTGATATCCCATTCGCATGCATATGTTCCTCATGTTTAGTGATTAACAAACTGGATGAAAATGAGCTATAACATGATATAAGATACCTTTCTGTTGGTTAACAATTTTCTACATAAAATTTTAGTGATTAACTACAGAAAGGTTTCATGGTATTATATTTAGTATCATTTTCTGTTGGTTTATTCCCATTTATTTAGTGATTAACTACAGTACCTGGTGGCTCATTCCAGTTTTTGTAGGTTATAACCCTTGTGGAGGTGCACGAACCCTACTTATCCCTCTAGAATAACTAGGTTTATGACTTACCATCCGTAGTTGGCCACCAAGGTACCTACAATGTGGTGCCCCAGTTCGTTAGCTAAGTTGGTGCCAATAACTTCAATTTCACTATGGTTTATGGGTAGATATATCTATATAGTATTCATGGGGTGAACACAAACCATAGTGAAATGAAATGTTTCTATAACATATCTATGGGTTTAAAATGAGTAACATAACATATATCTATCCCATGACGGATCCATGGTGCTGCTATATATGGTAACATGGATCCCATCAATATACCCCATTCATGTTAGTATATATATATACCAGCACCATGGATCCTATGGGCTATGATATACCCTCTGGTAAACATACAAAAAACTATGGAAAATCACCATGTTTCATGGGAAAATCCACTATAAATAGCCATTTTCAATAGCTATGTTAAATTACCAGAGGGTAGGTGGGTTTATAACGTTTTGGGGGCCCCACTCTTTGGTATCTTACGTCACTTTTTTCGTCAACTTCCAGGCGCGCCGTTTCGCCGGGCCTTGCCCAACTCTGAAGCGAACTCCTCGTGTCCCTCGACGGAACGGGTTGGATGACAGCTGGCTGCATGGTACGTCCACATCCTGGGCATGGGACTAAAGCACCACGAAATAGTCAGCCGATATTGGGAAAAAACATGGGGAAAAATGATGGGTTTTTCTGTTGACCATTTGACCATCAAGATGTGTTTTAAACCAGCTATACATAAGTGAGTTACTTACCGTCAAGAATTGAAAATTTTAGGGCTAATTCTGAATCGAAACCTCAGCACAACTGGAACTGTACAATAATTAGCCACATGGAAAAAATGATGGAAACAACTATATATATATATATTATATATACCTGGATCTTCAAACGCCCAATATATTTTGACCCTTTTGGTTGTTTACCATTTATGGTTGAAACTGCCTAGTTTTTTTGGGATCGTCATCAAAAACTGAAACGCCCAAAAACCATGGAAATTGGATAATTTTGAATGTTTCATCATATTTTCCTCCCGTCTCCCGCGCATGTAAGTAGCAATTTTTGAGGCTGCCAGAGTAGTGCATTGGAGTTGGGTATGCAGGTCTGACTCCGCAACCCCACCTACTTTTTCTGTGCAAAGCACTTTTGCACAGAATCTGCAAAACACAAAAAAACGCGACCAAAACGCCCCGCAAACATCCCGCAAAAATCCGCAAAACGCCCACAAAAACCCGCAAACGCCCGCAAATCCAGAAAACTGGCTTTTTGGCTTGCGTTTACACACAGTAGCTAGTTCCGTAGTAGTTTTTGAAAGGCATCGAGATAAAAAGTAGTCAGTATGAGTCAGAAATAGCACCCACGTAAACAAGCAGGAGTGACCTGGATTTAAGGTAGAACCAATGGAAGGCCAGACATCGCCTATTTTCTTCGCATATCGCCTAGTTTTCATCAAGTTCGTATGTGTTTTTTGTGAAACGCCTGGTTTTCGAAGAACCGACCAAACAAAATAGTACCGACACAAACGACCAAAATATTTTGGTAGTACGAATTTCAAGGTATATATATTATTATATATATATATACAATTTTCGCCCATTTTCCAAAACAACCTGCAGACATTCACCCAGCAGCGACGGTCAGCAAAACGTGTCAGCCCGTTCCGTTTCGTTCGTTGCGTCAACCGAGGCGCACGGAGGCCAACACGAGCATGATCGCCGACTTGTCGAGTCGTACCACATCCTTTCGGTGGCGCGGTGGCATGGAGGATGGGCTGATTTTGGATGATTTTGGGGATGAAACCAGCTCAAAGTCTCCAAATCTGATGGTAGAACTATAGAAATATTGGAGAAACAATATCTTGGGTTGTAGAACTATATTGGAATAAGAATGTGACCATCTTGAAAGTGCAGTATGAAACCAACCACATCTAGACATATTCTATCAATAAAATGCCAATATCGTGGTTTAAAAAAAATGGCAATATCGCGGACAGCTGATTTTTTTTCGATGGTCCCACAGGTGCCGTAGCCTGCCGTTTTTTTCTGCTTCAGGGGTTGCTTCACCCGGTGAACCCTGGAGAAACCACAGGAATGGAACCATGGGTGACTTGTGGATGATGTTTGACTATGTCACCCAGTAGATCCCATCTCAAACAGCTACAGCCTCCATTCAGCCCAATTTTGAAGTCCATTTTTTTGACACCTATTTTACAAGTAGAGTTACAGTAAATATCTGGGTAAATGATAATATTTCACTAACCTGAATCTTGCGGCCATAAAAGGGGATGATTCCCCTAAAATAAAACCATGATTTCCAGGGCTCGGTCGTGATGAAATTTACCCAGAAATATGGCCAGCAGCCACCAATCCATTTGGTTGTCAGCGCCTCTAAAGCCACTAGGATGATACCAGTCAGGAAGAGGGCGGCCAGAATCCTCAGTGCAAAAAGCGAAAAAACGGTCCCACGGTCCTCGTCTTATAAAAAATGCCTTTCAGAAATCCAAAGAAGGTATCAATTCTGAACACCTATATAAATGATATAGTATCAAATGAACACCTATATAACACCTATATAAATGTATCACATCAAAATCATCAAAACATTATATGTATTACAGTAGATAAATTTGTTGTACCTGGAGTTCATCGAACGCAAGCTGAAACACCAACCACCACGAGGCCCTCCGGTGATTTAACAGTTCGCGAACTGGAAAATCCACCATTGAGTCCCATACCCTCTGGTAATGACTAACATAGCTATTGAAAATGGCCATAGAAATAGTGGATTTTCCCATTAAAAATGGTGATTTCCCATATAAATCACCATTTTCCCATGGTTTTCCCATGGTTTTAAAAATGGTGATTTTCCATAGCTATGTTAGTCATTACCAGGCCGGGTAAGTTCTCTAGAAGTGGTGGATGTTCCACGTCACGAACTGTGATTTTTTCCCACAGAAATCAACGGCACGACGATTGGAGGTCAAAAGACCCAGCAACCCACGTCACCATAGCTCACTTTCCATCTATGCTGGTTGGCAAGTATTCCTATTATGGGTTAGTTCGTAATCAGCAATAAATCAGCTAGGTGAATAACCCCAATTTTAGTGGTTATCATGACCAGTTAGGTCAATAATCACCAACAAGCCAGCTAGATTAATCCCCATCATTCTAATCCCCAATAAGTTATCACAAGCAGTTTGGCTAATAATCCCCAGTAAACCACTTAGCTTACCCTCTGGTAATTTAACATAACTATGGAAAATCACCATTTTTCATGGGAAAATCCACTATAAATGGCCATTTTCAATAGCTATGTTAGTTTAACGGAGGGTAATTCCCATGATCATCCCCAACGGCCTATCAACCTATCAACGCCAAGGGTCTGTCTATGCACGGTCTCATCCTCAATCACATTGCTGGGCCAACCTTGGGAGGCCAACGGAACGACCAACGTTGGGCTCCTTGCAGTGATACAACCTACTTTGCAGTGATAGAAAACGGCTGTGGGATAAGCATCATGTCTGTTGTTTTCAATGGTTGATAGATGTGACAAGTACATATGTATTATATATGTTCATACATACATGGCTAGAATGGTTCCAAGGTGTGGACCTCCCGTGGAGAATGGTTGTTGGTTGCTGGTGGGGGATATTTTTTCATACATTCAAAACACAACACTTAGAAGATGTGAACATTAATTAATCAATTAATATATCTAAGTATAATTAACAAATAATATATTAATTGATTGTTAGTATAATTGTTAACTACTATTAATTAGTACATATCTACTATCAATTAATATCACTAATATTAATTACTAACTACAAATACGTCAATGGTCCTTTTCCCACTGCTTCTTAGCAAACCAACAGTTCCTGAAGATCCATCAACTCACTGGACCATGGTGCTGCCAAAAAAATGGTGTGCCATGGATCCCAACAAAAAACCCCAATAAATGTTAGCATTAATATATGGCAGCACCATGGATCCGAAATGTCATATGCTGAAAAATGGAATTTAAGTTGAGATAAAATATGCCCAACAAAGAATTTGCGTTGTATATTTTGGCATAAAAGAGACGCTTTCGATGCTCTGCCGACAGATCTGAAGCTCCCTTCAACAGGTGAGCTGGAAAACCGTGCAAAACCGATATCCCCAGTTTGATGATAGATATGAGATGGCCTGCTAAGAAGCTATACCGACCGGCTATAGCGGCCTTTCTGTGGGCTTACTTTTGGATGCATCTTTTTCATGACCTTTGGACAATACCCTCTGGTTTCTACGTTTACATAACGAACTGGAAAGATCCACCATTTTCTAGCTGGGTAAATCAACTATTTCGACTGGGCCATGGCTTCAATAGCTATATATAGGCTAGTCATTACCAGAGGGGTACTTAGCATTAACTATGGAAAGATCCACCATTTTCTAGCTGGGTAAATCAACGAACTTTCCTAAATGGCCATGGCTTCCAGTTCGCGAACTGTGAAAAATGATCAGCGGAAAAAATGCCACTGTTCCATTACGGCCAGGTCGCCAAAGAAGGAGAAGAGGAAGATGGTCACAAACCTCGGCGTCACGGAGGCACTGCCATGGAGGCCGTGGCCAGGAATTCACAGAGATTCATAGGTCATAGGGGGGGTTGTCCATTGCCATTGTAGATTACCTTATGGCTAGGTGAGGTCTCAGGAGGTATACCTTATGGCTGAAAGGACTGTGTTTATCCCCAAACTTTGATAGCGGCTTTTCTCAGCATCTCCATATGGTCCAATATGGTTATGTCCTAACTTGAGCTGTGTGTTGGTTGTCCTTCGCAAGATTTTCGACTTCAGTGAAGCTGAGAAGCTTGGTTCATTGGAAACTATCCGATTGTGGGAATCCTGTACTGGAGCTTAATGTTGATAGTCGTTTGTAGCATATTTTCTGGGACACCAAAGTCTTGGTTTGCCAAATATGGTATCTCACGAAATCCACTAATAATTATCCACTAATATCCACTTCATCATCAATTTTCCCCAGTCAGATTGCCATTGATTGATCCTCCATCTTCAGACACATCCATCTTATGGTGGTCCCAGCCGGTCCCACCCAGTCCTTCCCGGTCCCAAGCGACAAAGTAAGACCCGCAATCTTCGTGAGCCGCCGCGTCGTGGTATGGGCATGTTTCATGGCTTTTTCGCCTCTGAACAGAAAAAAATTGGGTCCTCCACTGGAGAAAATCCGGAGCTCAAAATTGGTGCTTCGTTGATCGCCTGCTAAAGCCTCAAAAATTTAACAATGGCTGTGGAAAAATCCACCGTTAACAGTTCGCGAACTGGAAAATGGTCATAGAAAGTTCGTTGATTTACCCAGCTACAAAATGGTGGATCTTTCCATATAAATCACCATTTTCCCAAGGTTTTCCCATGGTTTTCCCATGAAAAAATGGTAATTTTCCGTTATGTCAACGTTTACCAGCGGGTAACTACCTGGAAGAATTGATGTTGGGTGGTGAATCCACGATATCATCATACCCGACCTGGTAAACATACCAAAAACCATGGAAAGATCCACCATTTTTAATGGGAAAACCATGGGAAAACCATGGGAAAATTGTGATTTATATGGAAAATTA